CGCTGGCACTCATGGCACGATCGTGTGTAGAGATGGACGGTGTTCGGAAGCTTTGGCCAGTAGTACTTGTCACGAAAACGGGCAAGGGTCCTGCTGTAGCCGAGATGTCCGGCCGTTGGGTCGTCGTGGCACGGTTGAAAAATTTCTTCTCGGAGGCTAGCGGGGACAACCAGTAGCCAGGGAGTTTCGCTGGTTCTGAAATTTTTTCTGAAGAGCACGCCTCCCCGCAGGACAAAGCTCGGTAGGTCCCGAGAAAAGACCCGTGGGACAGAGCCTCCTCGACTTTCGAGGTGGTCGATCACAGAGCTAAGTTCCGCGTCGTCGCGTTGCAGTGCCCTCATGTCGGTAGCGTTAACTGCGCCTAGAAAACGTTAGTCGTCATTGTCGTCGGCGCCGGAGACTGGAGGTTCGACTGGAGCCCTAGACAAACAGTCAGCGTCATTATGCTTGCGGCCGGACTTATGCACAATAGTTACGTCGAATTTCGTCAGTCGAAGGCACCAGCGGGCGAGGCGTCCGGACGGATCCTTGAGGTTTGCGAGCCAGCAGAGGGCGTGGTGGTCTGTGACCACGCGAAACGGGATCCCATAAAAGTACGGGCGGAACTTGGTTATCGCCCAGACGACAGCAAGACATTCTTTGTCGGTCGTTGAATAATTTTGTTCTGCCTTAGACAGCACCCGGCTTGCATAAGCAATTACTCTCTCTGCCCCTTCTTGTCGCTGAACGACTACCGCACCGAGACCGGTATTGCTGGCGTCCGTGTGGATTTCAGTCCCCGCCGACTGGTCAAAATGTCCGAGGATAGGGGGCGACTGGAGCCTTCGCTTGAGTTCGCCGAACGCTTGCTCTTGCTCCTCTCCCCACTGGAACTGCACGTCGTCTTTCGTCAGATGCATCAGTGGTGCAGAAATTTGCGCAAAGTCACGAACGAAACGTCTGTAATAGGCGCACAGCCCAAGGAATCTTCGAACGGTCTTCTTGTCTCATGGCTTCGGGAACTCGGCGACAGCGGACGTCTTTGCGGGATCAGGGCTTACACCCTGAGCACTCACGACGTGGCACAAGAATTTCAGCTCACCATAGGCGAACCGACACTTGGAAGGCTTGAGGGTCAGCCCAGCAGCCTTGAAGGCCTGTAGGACGGCTCGCAGTCGCCTCAGGTACTCGTCGAAATCGCTTGCGAACACCACAACATCGTCGAGCTAGACGAGACAGCTTTGCCATTTCAAGACGGCAAGGACGGTGTCCATAACGCGCTGGAAGGTTGCCGGCGCTGTGCACAGCCGGAACGGCATTACTTTAAACTAATACAGTCCATCCGGCGTGACAAAGGCTGTCTTCTCACGATCTCGTTCGTCGACCTCAATCTGCCAGTACCCGCTCTTCAAGTCCATCGACGAAAAGTATCGGGCGTGGAGCAGCCGGTCCAGGGTGTCGTCGATGCGTGGCAGCGGGTAGACGTCCTTTTTTGTTACGGCGTTCAGTCGGCGATAGTCCACGCAGAACCGAATAGTCCCGTCTTTCTTTTTCACCAGGACTACCGGTGAAGCCTACGGACTGCTTGAGGGCTGGACAATTTCGTCGTCGAGCATTTTTTGTACCTGTTGCTGGATGGCTTCGCTTTCTTTCACGGAGACTCTGTACGGCGGCCGATGCACAGGGAGTGCGTCGTCATCAGTAATTATCCGATGTTTCGCAACCGTCGTTTGGCGCACCTTCGACGACGCGGAGAAGCACTCACTAAACTCGGCGAGAAGGTCGTGAAGTTGTCGTCGTTGTGGGGCTGGGAGGGACGGGTCGATATCGAGCTCTGAGGACGTGATTGTCTTGTTCTGCGTCGGAGAGGCGTCTTCTGAGTCTTGAATTTCCTCGACATAGCCCACAGCTTTGTAAGGTGCTGCGATATCTTGCCGGAAGTTGGTGACAAGGGCTACGGTACGCCCATCCTGGAGCTCGGTTACGTCTCTTGCAATGCCAATCCCTCGTCCGAGGAGAAGTTGGACGCTTCCTTCCAGCAGTGCTACACCGCAGGTGGCTCCTTCGGTCCCGACGGGCACAAAGACACTCGACAGCGGCGGCAGGTTCACGTGGCTGGCGAGGACTCGCACTGCAGCTAACGTCGGTTTGGGATCTTCCACCGATGGGACAGGCTTCCGAAGCGTCAGCTTGTTCTCCGCAAGGTCGATGATGGCGCCGTATTCACACAGGAAGTCCATCCGGAGAATGACGTCCCTCGAGCAGTCTTGCAGAACGACGAACTTCACAGGGCATGTTTCACCGTGAATCTCGACGCGAGCGGTGCATCTCCCGACTCTTATTTGTGGTGGTTCTTATTTGTGGTCCATCCCACGGCGTCATGACTTTTCGAAGGCGGCGGGAGAGCCTCCCACTCAAGACTGAGTAGTCTGCTCCGGTATCCACCAGTGTCGATGAGTCGAGGCCGTCGATAACAACGTTTAGGTTGTTGGACACCGAAGCAGGAGCGTCGTTTTGATGCGTAGCGTCGGGAGAGTGAGAGCGCTACGTCGTTCTTGGAGGCTCTTTACGTCGGTCGTCTTCGGCAACTCTACCTCCAGGGGTTGCCGCGCCTAGTTTCCCCGTGGAGGAGCGAGGGGCGACAGGCTTTCACGTCGGGGTCGGTGCATCGGCGAAGCTGGACATCGTGGCGAAGGCGATCGGAACCCTCGGCGGGACGCAGGTTCGGGCGACTGAGGTCGTCGCAGGTACTCGTCGATCTCCCGAGGACGTTCACCATACCGGGGGCGCGGGTCGTTTGGGTGGAATCCGCGCAGCCCGAGTCGTCGGTTTGGGCATCGGCGGTACACATGATCGGCCTCGCCGCAGTGATAACACAGCGGTCGTCGATCGGCCGTGCGCCACACATCCGTCTTCCTTGGCGCCGGTTGTTCAGTGCGGAAGAACTGTGGTTGCCCTTCCACACGTCGGAAGGTTTGTGGCTCTTGTAGTACACGTCGAGGTGGCGTCGAATGCTGCTGGGCAGCTGGTACCGGTTTCCGAGCTACCGCGGCGTAGGTCAAAGAGGGCTCCTCGGGTGCTGGTACGCTGGCAGGCGCCTCAGGTTGGAATGCCCGCTGGACCTCCTCGCGGACAACTTCGGCTATTGATACCGAAGCAGGCTGGTGGGTAGCAGGCAGGAGCTTCTTGATTTCCTCCCGGACGACGTCCCGAATGATCTCGCGTATGTCCCGGTTGTTGCTGCTGTACGGCGAGGGGACAGCGAAGCCAGGAAGTCTCTGATAGTGGGAGGCGCATGCTTGAAGGGCACGTTCGATGTTAGTTGCCTCGGTGATGAAGTCTCGGACGGTGATAGGTGGGTTCCGCACAAGGCCTCCAAAGATGGTCTCCTTCACTCCTCGCATCAGGAACCGCAGCTTTTTCTCTTCAGGAGCGTTTGGGTCGGCGCGGTTCATGAGGCGGAGAACGTCCTCGACGAAACTTGTGACGCTCTCGTTTGGCCCTTGGCTTCTTGCTTAAATAAGTTCTTCGGCCCGCTGATGTCGCTGCTGGCTTGCAAAAGTGCGTCGAAGCTCCGCCTGGAAGTCTTGCCAGGACGAAATCGACGCTTCGTGGTTCTTGAACCAGGTGCGTGCCGTGCCTTCCAGAGCGAAGTAGACGTTCTGAAGGCACTGCTCCGGAGTCCATGCGTTATGGCGAGGAACTCGTTCGTAATGTTGCAGCCAATCTTCAACGTCCTCGTGGACCTCCCCGTGGAATGGCGTCGGAGTCCGGGGTGCGACGGGCAGGTATACAACGGCGGCGGCGGACGGGTTCTGCGACGACTAGTTGTCCATCGTCGGCCTCGTTGGCTGCCTGGTCCGGGGTCCCAAAAGTCCGTGTTCCGGGGGTAGACCTTGGGTGCGGCGACTGGTCCGAGTTTCAGGTTCCGCGTTGAGTGGTCTTCTCACCGGGCTTGGAATCGGGCTTGCACTGCGGGCCCTGAGAGGGGAACGCTGCACGGGCATGCGGTACCCCGCACCTCCACCAAAATGTCACGGATGGTGACCAATAAACAAGAAATAAACAGGAATAAATAAACGTTTAATGTGGCGAACTTGTGCCAAAATTAAAAGGATACAAATGATAATAACAGAGCGTCGCGGGCATCGAAGTCGGCGTAGCAGCAGTGTTGAACGCTGGGGCGAAACTGACTCCGCTCACCTTGCGGAATCCCTTATGTACCCTCGTGGCTTTCTGGATCGTTCTGCGTAGAAGGTTCGGCGCGTGGAACATTCTAACCTCGAATCAGCCAAGACGGTTCTCGAATTCACCAGAACATCACATTACAGTGTCAACAAAAATGCGCCTCCGCGGCCAGGAATCGAACCCTGGCAACCGTGGAAAGCAAGCGCGATAACCCTTAGGCCACGCGCGCGCTGCCTACTTGGCCAGCTGCGCGCGCGGCAGTATTTCGTGATGTTTTTGCTGTTTCCGGCGCGCTTTCTGAGTCAGAACCGTGCGGTTTGGTTTGGACGGTGCCAAGTTCGGAGGGGCGAGCCATAGAGTAATCTACACAAGGGAAAGAGTGGCCACTCAAGCCGTTTCGCGGCCCAGCGTTTAGTTTTCTCACCGACCGCTAAGTGGTGCCAGTGTGCCAAAGAATGAAAATATTTCGTGAGGTTTGTTATAAATAAATACTCAAGTTTTAATTTTATTATATTTAAAATTGTTGCAAGCATCATAAACGGTGAAATAGTTTTTGTTTACTACGTTAAGAAGATCACGTGATGTACGGGCCAGTTCCGGTTCCTGCAGTTGCTCTGAGAAAGCGGCTGGAGTGGCTGGAGCGGGACGGACGAACGGACGGACGCGTGCGTGGACGGCGTGACCGCATGGTGCATGACACCTGTCAACGCGTTTTGTGTTGAGCACATGTGAGCACAGCGAGCAGAATGTGAGCACAACGTGGATATTGTCTGCGCCTAACAGGTTTCTTCAGAAGGTAAGACGTTTTCTCATTTCTTTGCTATTGCTTAGTCGCGAGCAAAACACAGCGTGCGCAGACAAGGGCAAGAGAAAAAAGCGAACTGTATCGTGTCCGTTTGTTTTACCCGTTATTTGCATGCTCAGAGGTCCAACAGACGCTGCGAAATAAACCTCAGACAGCAGCCGGCTTTTCCCGTGTGTGTTATTATTGTTACATGGGCTGCGCTATCGTAATAAGAGCTACGAATATTTGTGTTTATATCTTTCATTTTTTTTTCTTTCTCAGATGCCCTCCGGTTGCTACTACTGTAGCTACTGCTGTGAAAAAATTGTAAGGGTGCAGGCGAGCTGGTGGAAGTTAACCATATGTGTCGCATCGTGTAAAAACAACGGTAAAACGCACAAGAAACCCGGTACAAAGTTTTTCCGAATCGCACGTGACGCAAGGTAGGTTGGCGTGAGCTCCTTCTTGTCAATAGTTCCTTGGAACCATTTGCATACTTGAGCATATAAAAAAATCCCAATAATTTATTATTCTTCACAATATAATTAATTACTACAATGCGATTTTAAATCAAGCGCTAAAGTTGACTGGATGCCTTAACTGTAATGTGGGGATTTGGGCTAAGCGATCTCAGGTCAGTTATACTAATTTTAGTACTGCATTACCACTTTGTCTTTGAAGATAAAAACTGACAAATTAAACTTATAAGACAAAATTGTTAAGGAAAAGAAGCAGCCCTTGATTTGTCTCATACATAGCTTGAATGTATCGTCTTTAATGTGGCTCTAAATTGGGGTTATAATGGTGCTGCTTCATGGTGGGGTGAATTTTCGTGCTTTTTTTAATGTGGCTCTAAATTTGAGTTATAAAAGCGCTGCTTCATGGTGGGGTGAATATTGCTCTCTACTGATAATGTCTTTTCCTAAAGAAATGTGAATGTGCACCTGCTGTTAACTAGCTATAAAATGACCTGTTGTTGGGCGAGTTGGTGAACGTTAGAAATCATGTTTTTTGTGCGAAAGGACAAACACAAGGGTGGACAACAAGCACAAGCGCGCTTGTGCTTGTTGTACTCTCTTGTGTTCGCCCTCTCGCGCAAAAACCATGATTTCTTAGTTGACCTACTTCTGCACTACTCTAGAGCAGGAACCCATATTTGTCTGTGTGCATTGAAACATCCAAAGCAAACCTGCCAAATAAAAATATGTCCCCATCGCTTGCAAGCGGAGCCAAAATGTCGAAGAGAGGGTTGCAGATTGGCATCTGACATTTTGTTCCAAAGTGTACATTTAACACATTGAAAAACAATATATATTACAGGTCAAAATCTTGGCTCGACTATGCCAAGAGGTATGATCTTCTTGGAAAGTCTGCTTCGCAACACTATGCCACCTATCGCGTCTGCAGTGATCACTTCACTGCAAAAGATTTTATGGACCCAGGGCAAACAACCCTAGTGCGATCAGATGTGCCTACTGTTCGTCCTCCCATAAACTGGGCATCTGCAATAGGTGATTGTAATAATGTGTTTCCCTCATATACACAAAGGTATAAGTAACTTCTCTATGTAGGCTAATAAGCCCATTCTTCCAGGTCCCACTCAGGCAACCAGCTCATATGGCCCTTCACTCCAGTGCAGCTCCGTCGCAGCGAGCCGTTCTGTGCTTGCTAACAGGTTATCTCGTCATGGTGCACCTTTCCAGACCAGGCAGAGCCCGACAGACTGCAGAATTCACCACTTCCATGTAGCTCCGCAGTAATGCACTCCGCAGCACTCGGTAATATAGAGTTATTTTAAAGCACCAGCCTGTGCCTAATATGCGCACTCTTCCAGACCCAAGTCAGGCAACCAGCTCTTCTGGTCTTTTCGCTGGCCACTGTGGTCCAGGTCAACACTGTAAGTGTCCCATTTTGCTTTCGCCACTTTTTAAAACATATTTGTGTGAACCTCTATAGCCAGTGGATAATACAATCTGTCCTAGAAGGATCAGTTTAAAGAATTCTAGGTCTCTTTATAAGCTATAGTCTTTGCTTCATGTGTGTGGCATACCGATCTAACCATTTTTATTACTAATGACTGGGGAGGTGTGGGAAACTGGAACACACATATCAAGAGGAGGTTTCAAGAGAATTCTTCATGGCTGTTTTGCGTTTTTCATGCTATTTCAGCCTTTCGAACTTGCAAGGTTATCAAGGATTTTGCGTGAAGACATTTAGTACCGAACATTTTACATGACTAGTAAAAGAATAACGTAATTGGTGGTCAGAAGTTTCACTGGCTTTGTCAGTGCTTAAATGGTAAAGCACAGGAAGAAAATTCAAGCTTCACTCTACACCTTACCTGGTATGCTACTGGTTAGTGGTGCTTGTACTGGTTAAATCGTATCGCACTTATTGCAACTGTTTTCAATCTCACTGACTTGTTGCCATTTTTATAGCTGGTCCAAACCATCCTGCACCTGTTTTCCGCAAACTCACGAAAAGGCCCGAGGACGTTATCAAGCGACTCCAGGCGAGAATTTCCAGCTACAGAAAGGCGATAGCCAGACTGCGGAAACAGCAGCTGAAGACGCCTCAGACAGCTTCTCAAGCTCTGGAAATAATTCGGCCTCATGTTTCTGAAGAGGTATTTCACCTCATATCATCGCATGTAAAGAATAGGTCGAAGGGCAAGGGGAAGCGATTTTTACTGTGGCTGAAGAAATTTGCGCTCCATCTGAATTTGCATGGACCGCGGGCATACCGATTTGTGTCTTCAGTGTTCACGCTACCATCTCGGCGTTCACTACGAAGGTGGCTAGCCAATGTCAAAATGACGCCAGGTATCATTCCAGGCATCATGTCATCGATTGTCAAAAACAAAGTCATGGAATGAACGCGACCGCATTTGTACCTTAGTTTTTGACGAGATGATGTTGAAAAAGAACTTGTCATACGATGTGGCGCAGGATGTTGTCCTCGGATTTGCAGATGATGGTGTTCAGCGAACTTCCAGTATTGATGACAGAGCCCAGGTTTTCCTCCTCTCTGGAGTTTCTCGGAGGTGGGTGCAACCTGTAGCATATACTATTGGGCATACGTCAACACCATCCTGTGTAACTCGTAACCTGCTTATGCCACTGATTGAGCAGCTGAAGGACATTGGCATTACAATCAAAGCAGTGGTCTGTGACCAGGGTGTCTCCAACGTAAGTTTGGCGCACCAACTTGGAGTGTCTGTTGAGCAGCCATTCTTCAAAGTAAAAAATGCAAGTGTCTATTTTATTTTTGATGTCCCGCACCTAATAAAGATCACCCGTAACAACCTGCAAGCTTACAAGCTTCACATCGGGAGTGAAAATGTAGACTGGAACTACATTGTGCAACTTTACCACTCCACGCACGAGATGCGACTACGATTAGCCCCGAAGGTGACAGACCGGCATATTTACCAGAAACCTTTCAGTAACATGAAGGCGAAACGTGCGACTCAGTTCATCAGTATGCGTTGCACTTTTAGCTCTTGTGTATGCCAGACAGCTCCCTGAGGCGGCCATTTCCACGGCATACTTTTGTGACCGCATGGACAAACGTTTTGACTGTCTTAACAGCTCGAGACAAAAATAATCTGAACAAAAGTTACGCTATGCGATTAGAAAGGGCGACACTGAAATCGTTGATTTCCTTTGCAACCAACTTCCATGGGTGGCAGCCTGGAAGTTTGAGGGTAGACGGCAGCCACAAACAGTCACTGGGTGGCAGGTTACTATCAGGGCCGTCCTCATGGTCTGGGAGGATATTTCTGAGAAATATAACTTCAGCTTTCTTTTGACACGGCGACTGCAGCAAGATGCCGAAAATATTTTCGGGCAGATGAGGCAACAACACGGCTGCAACACCAATCCTAATGTGTATCAGTTTACTTGTGGACTGAAGCACATTGGGATTAGGAAGCTCCTAAAGCTCTCGAAAAAGGAAAATGTTGAAGATGGCAACACTAACCTCCTTCAGGAGATGACCCCGTTTTCACTAGAGACAACCTCAATCGCTGATGCCGTGGAATGTGCCCCCGTGGACGACTTCCCTCCATTGGACGATATTTCGGAACTCGCATCAAGTAAAGGCTCTAACATAATAGACGACTCTGCCACCTATTATGTTGCAGGATTTCTAATCAAGCTGTTCCTGGAAAAAAGTTCACAGGGTTGTCTCTGTTCTGGGTCACTGAGGAAAGGGTCTGACAACTTGAACTGGCCCCACCAGAATTTTACAATGCTTAAAGCCTTCCATATTCCAAGAAAGATGTTCGGCAACTTAACTGTGCCATCGGAGGCTACTTTCACTTACATTCAGAGCCTGGAATCTCACTTTATGTGTGTTATAGAAAGCGTAGCACAGCTGCGCAATGTCTGTGATGTTTTTTATCACCATCTGGTCGCGTATTGGTTTTTTTGCATTTATGCTCCGAGGAGTGTCAGCGGAGGTTTTTGAAGATGTTTTGCAGGGTGCGGTTGTGCTGGCATGTGCGCTTTATTAATCGAAACTTGGAAACATTTCGGTTGCATTCTTCTGTTCCTGGCGCTCAACTCGACAAGTTCGAAGCTTAGTATGGTATGGTGTTTCAGGCGCCTATAAAAGAACGATCTTTAATTGGGTTGTGCAGTTTGCATGCCGATTATATTTCTGGCTTTCTTTCAACTTTATAATGCAGGACATAGTTTTTTTTTATATACGGGATGAGGACGTTTTGTAGCAAAGTGATCTTTGATGGGTGCGTGCGTGGAGTATATGCCGAACATGTCCGACATGTTAATGTTTTAATCAATGTGCCCTGTATATTGACCAAATGTTGTGTCTGTTACTGTTACTTTGGTAACAGAATATTTGTATATTTAGAAAAAATCTGTTACTTTGGTAACAGATTTTTTGTATATTTTTATTACCTAACACTGTTAGGTGGTTTGACCTTAGCTGCCTGTTCTTGCTGTAATTTTCCACATGCCCTGTACTAGCATTGCTATATTTTCTGCTGTACACTCATTGTGTTGAATATGGATGGGAATGTTGAATATTCCCTGGGTCTGTATGAGGTCCTTTTTGTTAGCCTACAAGAAGTGTTAGGCTACTCCAAATAGTGTACTGTATATTGACATTGAATCTGCTTCTTTGAATTCTGTGCAGTCTAGGCTGTGCTCTAATAGCGTAAACGAATTAATCTTCGCGTGGACCTAACTTTCGCAAATATCGCGATTTGATCAAGTTCACAAGAAATTGGTAACGTGAATAAGTTGCCCTATGGATATGAATACATGCAATGTCACTCACGGTGGTGAAAGTTTATGCCCGCGAAATATTCCCGAAACTGGCACATCGCTAAATGTCGAGCTCGCAACAATAAGTCGCTTACAGTACTTGTTAATGACAGCTATGGCCACATGTCCACATTACTGAAACTGCTCAGCATTGTGACAACCAATGATTAATTCAATCAAACCGTTTAGCATCACTGGAAAGTTCTGGTTTGGAGTGTTGGTAAATGTGGGACTCTTGTAGCGTTACTGCTTTATATGAATGTGTGTGCCCTCATGAAGAATACTTCGCGATTCTGAATTGTTCAAGCGTTCAATTGACCTCAAAATAAATCATTCTGAAGCACTTTTTGTTGTTGCCTGAAAATACTTCGTAAACACGTAAACAAACGGAAGCAGTATGACAAGAATAGATATCTTAATATTTCACAGTAGTAAAGACAATAATTTCTGCTCTTTCGTGGTGTGAAACCTCTAATCAGAAGCATTTGTGCCATCAAGAGAAGCCGCGCGACAGCAAGCTCGGCAAAAAAAGCGCCGGAAACGAAACCGAAACTGAAACCACCGGAACCGGAATGAAGAGTAAGCTTTTCTCATCGACCGTTTGGCGCGCTAGTTGTTATACGGGACGCTGGGGCCTACGGCAGTGTCCGCTCTTTACCTTGTGTAGATTACTCTATGGGCGAGCGCGCACTGGCGCACGCAGGCACGAGCGCCCTCTGGCGGTGAAATGACGACCATTCGAAATGCAGCTTTGGTCCCGAGCGAGTGTCCAATGAAAATTAATCGGTGGGATCGTCGCGCTGGTTGCGCCGTCGGCGCCGTCCCCGTCTTCAATCCTTTGCTTTCGTGATGGCGTTTCGTGAGGATCCCAAGTACGAAGCTGGGATTGCTGAGCTAATGAACCTTTGTGTGGTAAGGTAGTACGTCAGCAATGCAAGAACCGTCAGCATGACTCGGCTGACTGTTTTTACGGCTGCTTGTGAGCAGTACTTGAGTATCAGCACGAAGCAGCGAAAGGCAATCTGCACGCTGTTGAGGTCTAGAATGACGATCGGCGAGTACGCCACCACTGTGCGACAGATGTACCAGGACCCCGACGGCCGGGACTTCTTCGAGTCCTTCCGTATGTCAAGGGCCAGGTAAGTTATGCTAACTTTTATTTGGTATGTTTAGTATATTTTTCATCATGTGCACCACCGCATAAATATTAACGTGAAGCGTGCACCATCTCAGTGAAATAAGGCACTGTACTTTCGCGAGACGGCAAATTCACAAGGTTTATACGTCTAAACGTCTGGCTGACTACATGAAGGTACTTTGCTTCCCATTGCCCCCGCTCTCGCGACCGCGTGCGAGACAAGAACAAGTGTTGTCTTTGCCTTTAGCGGTGTGTACTACCACTATTACGTGGGTTTAAAGGCTGCTTGCACGTAAACAC